CCCCCCCCGCCCACTGAGAAGCTGGTATGCAACCATGAGACGCCCGGATTCCCCACGAGACATCGTCCCCACTCCAATCTCAAGGCAGCGAGGGACAGACTCCACCTGATGGCTCAGGCCAGGCCCCCGGTCCCCAGCATGGGTGGATTTCCAGGCCCTCCCTGCTTTTGCTTCCTGCTCCCGGGAGGGAGCAGCTGCCAAGGGACTCATTATTTTGCCTAAAGCTGTGCAACACCAACACCTATTTTTGTGTCTCTTGGGGTATCTGTGCTTCTACTGGACAGTGCGCACCAAAGAAGGAAGCTGACGGCGTGGCTTGACATCTCCTCCACACCCGAGAGACTCTTGTTTTCTCGTTTCAGGGCTTCTCACCTTCTGCATTACTGACCCCGGGCGCGGGTGGTTCCCTGAGCGGGGACGGGGGCTTCCTGGGCACTGTGGGGTGTTGGTCAGCACCTCTGGCCTCCACCTACTTAGTATGAGTGGCACCTACCCCCCAGCTGTGGCAATGACAAATGTCCCCAGACACAGCCACTGACTGCCCCTCAAGCCTCTAGGAACTTCTTGCCAGATGAGCTGCTGGAAATGGCACAGAGGGACCTTAAGTCCCTGGGGCTGGGACAGGTCTTCCGAGAGGGCCAGCACGTGGGGTCCAGAACCCAGATCCCCTGCCACTGCCACATGCTCCCCACCCCCGACTCAAAGTCCCCAGACTAGACCAACACACCTGGGGGGCAGCCAGGAGGTGACAGATCCTGTTGCCTCCTGTGGGAGAGAAAACGGTATCTTTCCACCTGCCCTCCTTGAAAAAAACAAGGCGATGGCTCTCAATTGGGGGTGACATGGTCCCACGGGGAACATTCAGGACCGTTGGGGATGCTTTTGGTGGTCATCACTGGGGGCGGGGAGAGGGGATGCTGCTGGCATCTAGAGGGCGGCGGCTGGGGATGCTGCTCAACACCCTACAGTGCCCAGGACGGCCTTCCACAACTAAGAAGGATCCGGGCTGAACGATGCTAGTGCTGAAAGAAACCCTTAAGTAAGCACATAAAAATCTCTCCGGCGACCTGGAAAGCATCGGATCCTAATGTCTGCTTGTTCCTTGGCTATAAACACGTCAGCTGTCAGGGCTAAGTTGCCTCTCTGAGCCTGGCTCCTGGAAGAACGAGGGAGCCTGCCGCCAGGAGCCATGGCTCAGCCCCACACTGGCAGGGGTGGGGCAGGGTGGGGGGCAGCCGGCCGGGGTGCTGCCAGGAGTCAGCAGCACAGCACGGAAGGGACGCAACAAGCAGCTGCTGGGCGCTGAGGCCTAGGACCACCCCAGACACGGCCCACACTCCCCATCCCCGGGAAAATGAACCTGGGGGAGGCGTAAAAAGGTCCCTTCACTGGGTCAACAGCTCATCCGGCCTTCTGACCACATACCTTAACTCTGTCCCTCAGGTTCTGCCCGAACACAAACGCCTGCTGTGCACGCTGCTGCTCCTTCTCGCAGCTCTCCTCAGAAGCACCGCTAGACTCATTTTTCTGTGAGTCTTTCTCCTGCTCAAAACAAGCAAACAGAACAACTGAACAGTAGCAACACATCAGCCCTGAGAAGCGAGATGAGCCATCTCACACCACTGCATTTGCCTGGCGTGAATCCTGTGGCGTGGGCCCTGGGGTGGGGGACCAGGGAGACGCCCTAGGGCTGGGTGGGACCAGACCTCTCCAGGGAGGGGAGGGGCGAGGTCTTGGCAGTGCCCTCGTCACCGGAAACACTGGGTGGAGACAGTGGGGTGGGGGGGTCACGTCCAGGTCTCCCTCCAGCTCAGAGCCCTAGCCACCAGCTTCTGAGAAGCAGTAATGCTGTGGGAATGATTCCTTTTTCCAACTCCACTAACTGTGGTTTCAGGGTGGGGGGGCTCAGGGACATCTGAAGATTGAACTGGAGATGTTCATTTTCACCATTTGAGCCTGAACATCCGGCGGCGGTATGGTAGCGGGTGGGGGAGGCAGAGGGTGGAGAACCTCAGGCAGCGAGCGACCTGTCTGCTGAAACGGGCAGAGTGGAGATAAACACACGGGTGCAATCTGTCTCCGTACGTGGAGCCCTGGATGTGTTGCTGCAACTCGGATTTCAAGTCCGTCTCTGCCAACCCAAATGCAGGCTCTTGATTAAATGCCCCTTATTTTCAGCTGCTATGCAACACTACTGGAAAACATATGCATCTGGCCTATATAATCCCAGAACCTGGAGGACTTTTTTTTTTTAAAAAAACAAACGATTTCTGGGCTTCCCTGGTGGCGCAGTGGTTGAGAATCCATCCGCCTGCCAGTGCAGGGGACATGGGGTCGAGCCCTGGTCCGGGAAGATTCCCACATGCCGTGGAGCAACTAAGCCCGTGTGCCACAACTGCTGAGCCTGCGCTCTAGAGCCCACGAGCCACAACTACTGAGCCCACGTGCCACAGCTACTGAAGCCTGCACGCCTAGAGCCCATGCTCTGTAACGAGAAGCCACCGCAATGAGAGGCCCGCGCAACGGAGTAGCCCCCTCTTGCTGCAACTAAAAAGAAAGCCTGTGCACAGCAACAAAGACCCAACGCAGCCAAAAATACGTAAATAAATATATAAAAATAACAAAAATAAATAAATAAAACAAACGATTTCTGAGCGGACTCCCAAGCACACTTCTGCCACTAGAAGCAGCACATGTGTATGAACCCCTGAGGAACTGCTCGGCTGTGGAAAAGGGACGGGAGACATCTCTCCATGTACAGCGGTACAAGGCCCCAACAGACTACGTGCGTAGAAACGAAACAGGCCTTGGGCTATCCGGCCCTCAGTGCCAGAGCCCTGCTCGTGGCCCCTTTCTCTCAAAACCAACTGTGGAGTTCCTGGTGGTCTGGTGACCTGGCCAGTCAGTTGTGGTTACACATGGAGACCTCTGAGCAAATCAGGATGCTTTAGCATGGGCCAGCCTGGATACGGCCCAGAGCGGCCAACAGCCCACGCGCCCGGTGAGGCCCTGAGAAGCTTCACGTGCAGTGCACTCCCTGCCCCATCGCCGACGGACCTCAAGTGCTGGCGCCTCGTCAGAGGGACTCCTCCGGGCGGGGTTGTCAGGTGAAGCCAATGTCGCTGCCCCCGGGCAGTCTGCCGGGACACTGACCCCGTTGGTGCCGCTGCTCGGGACTGTGGGGAGAAAAGGACAGCAGACATCTCAGAGGTCAGCCCGGACCACCTTCAGCACCGCTGCCTTCTACCATTTGGGCTGACAGTGTAATGTCTCCTTCTTAAAGGAAAGGATCTGGAATCAATACTGAAAGCCACAAATTCTTAGGTTAGAAAAACCCAAACCCAAAACTTAACGCCTCACAAAAGAATCCATCCTTTATTGCTTATTCCACAAAGAACCATGTGAATTTTCAGTTCATTTAGAAATACTACTACTTAGGCGAAAAAAAAAAAAAAAAAAGAAAACATATTTGGGGAATAATTATGAGTCTTATAAAACTAGTTTTACTAATAGAGTCTTTTTTCTATGCACTTTCTCCTTTAAACAGTTGAGATTATGTGACATGTACAACTTTAAATCTGGCTTTGTTTAGTATTAGACCAAAACAATTTTCCATGCAATTAAAACCCTTCAGAAATATTAACTATTTTTGCTCCCGATGAAGAGCTCTTGAATTGTAGG